CCCATCAGTGATACCCAGCCTTAGATGCTCTTTGCGGTGCCATGCAGGGGTGGGCTCAGTTTAAGTAACACCTTCCTTTTCCTCCTCCTTTTGCAAGTGTCTACATGAGTTTTCCTGCTGGAGCCAAGTCTTCCATTGGTAGTTTGTATCTCTTTTAGAGATACATGTATTATGTGGAAATATTGGTCCTATTGACTTTACAGCACCAGAAAATAGTTCTTAAGTGGTAGAGAGCCGAGTGGAGCAAGCAAGAACAGAAAGTGCTTGATCCCAGGGGCTTGTAGTAAACAGCTGTCTAATCCTATTGATGAATAAAACTATGAATTAAAGAGATTTGTTTTCAGAGCTGCTGTTCATTTATGGAGAATTGGCTAATAACAGAAAAATATCAAATCCTGACGTTCACACAGTGTCTGCAGACAGGGATTTTGCCCCTTATCCATTAAAGTTGGACCTCCCCCTTGTTGTAATACATTTTGCCACTTGGCATCTTACCTCTGATCCTCTTCCAGCATGAGGGACTGTTTGTGGAGGAGGTTGAGAATTGAACCTTTAAGTTCAGGGAGCGTGCATCCCTGTTTCGTGACTTGGACTTCCCTTGCCCAGGAAAATCCAAATCCCACCAGCATCTCCTGGGTGTGCTGAAGCCATAGCTTTATGTCTGTCTATCACCAGGTTTTGCCTTGTTGTGGGGTGTTTTGCCTTGTGTTTTAATGGATTAGCTGGCCTGATAACCTCCGCTGCTGGCCAAGAGAAGGTGGTGAGAGCAGGGCCTCCCCCTGGGGAGGCTGGGAGGGTGATGGAGGGGGAGAAACCTCTGATCTCCATGTGGTTTGTGTTACGGCATTCCCCCTTTTCCTGGTTCATCTTCAAGGAGGGAGGATCAAGCAACAAGAGCCATTTTGGCCTCTTTCAACTACCTTCTTTTTCCCTCTTCGTCAAAGTTGTTGTCAGTTTTAGTTCTGATAAAAGCCTACTACAGAACTGTCATCTAACAGACTTCATCTTGCAGACTCTGCAGATGAAGGAGGAGGCAGTAAGGGGTAATAAACAATGCTTCACATTTCAGTTTTTCTTTCATTGTCTCGGAGCTGTTTTTTCATACATCGATGGAAGCAGTGTTAAGTGTTTTGTGACAGGACTGGGCAGAAACCCAGAAGGAACAGGGATACGGTCAGGCTGCTAGTGATCTATTGAGTTATTGCTAAAAATAAGGAGCTTGCATATTGCTTTGAGAAGAGGTGAAGGTGCTGTACATCCTTCTGTGGGCGAGGTTGAAGACCTCAGCATTGCTAACTTATTGACTCTGGGGTTAAAGTGTTTGACCTCTATTTAATAAGATGGTGTTCAAGGCCAGGTTGGACGCAGGGGCTTGGAGCAAGCTGCTCTAGTGGAACGTGTCCCTGCCCGTGGCAATTCCAAATTGGGTGAGCTTTAAGGTCCCTTCCAACACAAACCATTCCAGGATTCCATGATATTTGACCATCGTGTGTTGTCTTTTGTCATGGCTCTGACTCCTGATTCCAGTGCCTCCACCGCATTTCCTCACTGTTGGTGAACCATCTCTAAACAATCTTTGGTGCTTCTTCATCTCCTTTCTGCCCTTCCTTTGCTTCACACCAAATTCTCTGCCCACCTCCCGAGTCTCCTCCTGATCTGTTTGCCTGAGAAGAGCAGAGCTGGAAGGCTGGGGAAGGGCCCTGTAATGGGGTTTGATGTTTCAGCAGATGAGCATTGCCTTCCTGTGCCCAGGATGGAGCATGACTTGGCAAAATGGGTTCAGGGAAAGCCTCTATTGCCAGGCAAAAATATGCATTTTATTTTTCCTCCACTCAGGGTATATTGACAATGGTGTTTTTGAGGCATTTGACTCGTGAAAGCCATGGAAGTGCGGGGTGATGAAGGATTAACCCTTTCAAGAAGCTTTTGGAAACGGAGCAAGATCTGGTTCTCTCAGAAAGAGAAGACCTCCTCCTCTGCAGCTATGCTGAGTGCAGACGAAAGTCCTTAGCTCTCGACAAGTCACATCCTGCACCAACTTCCAGTTGCTTTGGCAAATGCTAGGTTATGTCAGAGGCTGATAAACTGCTGAAGATAATTGTTCAGCTGACAGCAGAGCAAGAGCGGGTTTGATGACCCGCAAGCACCCTGTCCACGCTCTCCTCTCCAGTAGTAACAATTATAGGGGCAGTCCTTCCTTCATGGAATTATTTAGGAGGAGAGAGGGAGAGAGAACTTCATCAAAGGCGAGGAAATCGCCCTCTTTCAGCTGACTGATGAAACTTTAATAAGGGCATTGATGAAACTTTAATAAGGAAGCCCTGCTTCAGGAGCTTTACTCATCTGTGCTGGTGGAAGCCTTCAGCTACCCGAGCAACTGAGGTTCCATTATTTTACTGTTTCCCTGGGCTCTTTGGGGAGATCGCGTCCTCTCCTCCAAAATGAAAGAATCCACGAGCACTGAACAGCCTTCCTGCTTGTGCACCCTGCGGGAAGCCAGGAGGAAAGTCAGTTTTTTTCCAGACAACATTTGTTTTCCTGTGAGTTACAGGGGATGTTTTGTGGGTTTTTCCCAACTGCTGACGGCTTGAATTAGGAATGAAAGCAGGATATTGGAGGCCACGGGCTCAGTCAAGCCTAACGGTCTGTTCTAGTCCTTGGGTGAGAGACAATAAACTTGTATTGAACAGCTGGATTAGTTGGATGCTGTTTATTTCATATCACAGAACCCCAGCTTGGTTTGTGTTGGAAGGGACCTCAAAGCTCCTCCAGCTCCAACCCCTGCCACGGGCAGGGACCCCTTCCACTGGAGCAGCTTGCTCCAAGCCCCTGTGTCCAACCTGGCCTTGAGCACTGCCAGGGATGGGGCAGCCACAGCTTCTCTGGGCAAAGGCACATGGAGTATTCCTTTTCATTTCCATTATGGCTCTGGCAGAATAATCTGGTTCTAGCCATGGTTGAATGAACAAAACTTGAATATTTTAGGGTGGTTTTGCCTGCGCGCCTGTTAATTTGTGCATGTGCAGATGTTTCAAGTGAATTGTTCTTGGCATTGATAAATACAGTAGGAATAATAGTAGGTTTTTATTATGGTGCTTACTGAAAATGCTTGACTTCTGTTTTGCTGTTGCAGAGCTGATTTTGTTGGCAAATAATTGTTTCTGATATTGTTTATGCCAAAAGTTAATGTAATAGCCTCAGGAGCCCCAATTAGCTGCAACCAAGGCAGGGTCATTTCCAAAAACCACTGACCCCTCTTTGCCCGGTGCTAACTGGGACCAAACCAGTGCTTAGCATCTGGATGAGGCGCATCTGGGTTACATCTGTGGGTAGGGGAATAGGATCTTAACCAACTTGCTCGGCTGCAGTTACCTTGCTTGGAGCATCGGTGCTGGGGGGGCTGCATCCCTGCATCCCTCACCCTACGGGCACACTTCCCAAGCTCTGGCTGTGGTCCCATTCCCTGTTTCTCTCACTGAGGTGCACATGGAAGCAGAAACGCTACAAACTCATGGAACGCCTCAAGTGAGGAGCCTGAGCAAACAGAGGTTTTTCTTCTGCAGAGCTACAGTTGGCTCTGGTTGCCTGGAGGGTTTCCTCATGAACCTGGGACGTTTGCTGAATGACATAATAAGCTAATGATTGCTTAATTTTTCCTTGCCCGGCTCAGTGCAGAGCGAGTAACAGCTGGTGTTTGTCAAATTAGCTTTTCTCCTTCAGATTTTGACTATTCATTTTCTTGTTTATTTAACATACTCAGCTGAGAGTGAGCTCTGAAGGCCTGCCCTGCACGTCTGTTAGATTTACAGGTGAATATTCCCTGCTCTAAAGTACGTTTAAGCCTTGATTTAGGTTTTGAGTTCCCGTGTGGAACCACTGGAAGTTTCCTGCATGTTATGTTTGCAGGATGAAGGAGGTTAGTATGTAAAACTGGTGAAACTTGGGTCTTTGTGTGCAGAGCACAGGAGAGCAGTGGGGCAGATAACCCTAGTGTTAGAGGATGGTTAATACAGTAGGTAAAAGAAACGTTCAGATCTGCAATCAGACGACTTATATTTGGGAGAATTCAGAGTAAGGTGGTCACAGGCTGGTTTGTGTTGGAAGGGACATTAAAGCTCATCCAGTTCCAACCCCCTGCCATGGCAGGGACAGCTTCCCCTAGAGCAGGTTCCTGATGGATTGTTCTGAAACTGTGGGAGCTGCAGGAAATGCCATCCAACGTGTTCAAATATTTGACTTTTTTATTGAAGGCTTTTTTTTTCCCATTTAAATATATTAACTTTGCACAGGCTCTGTATGACTCACTGCTGCCTTGTCCCTCTGGGTTGTAATGATATGTTCACGTATATTGGGTTTTAATATCTAGAAATGCACCAACTGCAGGCTAGGACTTTGAGAGTAATGATCAGGCTGTGTGGAGACCGCTGAGCAGCTGCCAGTGTCTGAAGGGGTCTCAAGGATGCTGGAGAGAGTCTCTTCATCAGGGACTGTAGTGCCAGGACAAGGGGTGATGGGTTCAGACTGAAACAGGGGGAGTTCAGGTTGGATCTAAGGCAGAAGCTGTTCCCTGTGAGGGTGCTGAGGCGCTGGCACAGGGTGCCCAGAGAAGCTGTGGCTGCCCCATCCCTGGCAGTGTTCAAGGCCAGGTTGGACACAGGGGCTTGGAGCAAGCTGCTCCAGTGGAAGGGGTCCCTGCCCATGGCAGGGGTTGGAGCTGGAGGAGCTTTGAGGTCCCTTCCAACCTGAACGTTCTGTGATTCTATGTTTCTATTAGGAAAGAGGCTTTGAGAGTCTGCGGAAGATATGTAATAGGTTAAAAATGTAGCATCTCTCCAAGGGACACATGCAAACCGCGGGGGCCGGGTGGGGATGTCATAGAGTTTTGTTCTATCTTGTGTTGAGATTCAGGCTGCTGAAAGCATTGTCTATAAATTCTCTGGTTTCCAGTTACAAATGAAGCCTGTTGTGTTTCTCACCCTTCCGCAGGTGCTGCTTGCCAGAATGGCCTTAAAGCTGTTGGTGGCAATCAGACCCTGGCCTTGGCCACCACGGCGATGGTGTCAGTGGAGCCCGAGCCCCACCAGGGACCTCCGGCACCGAGCATCCAACCCTGCCACGTCCTCACCTTCTCCCCTATCAAAATCCCGGTTTTGGCTTCGCCTTTTCCAGGTAAGGTCAATCCTGGTGGCACTGAGGAGCTGCTTTTGTGTTTCCTTTGCAACAGAGAGGTTTCTGAGTGCGTTTTGGGTACTGTTCAGGGGATATTGGTGGTGTTGCTGCGGTCTGGAATGAAAGCTGTTTTGTCTGGTGCGGTTTAGAGGTGTTGTCTGGAGCTGCGTGCTAAAAGGGATTTAAACACTGCACTTCATGGAGTTTTGATGTCATTGTGATGTTTACAGGCAGCAGATCCTGCATCCTCTGTTGTCAGTGACTTCTGTAAGAACACATGGTCTTGGTGACAGCAAAGCTTTGCAGCACATCCTTGGGTTGCAATGCTGGCAGTGGAAAGGTGCCTGCTGCACATGAAATAGTATTTGATGAAGACTGAAGTAGGTTTGTGTGGGTGTTTGCAGTTATCAAATACATTGGAACAGTGTAGCTCTGGTTTTGTGTGCTTTGTGATGTTTTACATGGGGTTGCTTATGGCCTAAAATGCTCTTTTCTTAGCGTGACTTTGCATAGCAGCTTTCTGTGTGTGGCACTCTGGCCCCCCTGACTCGCTGGGAGGTCTGGCTGCTTGAAAGTCTGCAGGGTGATTTTTGGAACCTACTTGGGATGCTGATGGTGGCCGAATATAGAAATGTTATATTCCAATTAAGTTAAACGTTTAAATTGGGATGCATTTGCCATCTTTTTGGTACTTGAAGTGTAACGTGGCAAGATACTGCGAGATTGGATTCCGCAGGCAGCGTGCAGTTATGGGGTTGGTGTTCAGATGAAATCTATTAATGAGAAATGTAGCTCAGTAATTACTGTTCCTGTTGAGCAGTCATTAGGATCACCCAGATAAATGCCTGCTGAGGGCATCCCGTGGTGTCTTTGTGTTTAGGGAGTCTGGAGAGCAACAGACCTGTAGCAATGAAGGTACAAGTCTTTCAGACTGTGTCGAGAGAGGGCAGTACCCAAGTAAGAGCAGAAAGCAGAGTAATCACTGCTGTCGGGCAGGGATTTGGTGCTGCATCCCATGAGTTATATTTAACCCATAGAAACCACATTGCCTGTTTGTAAGTGAGCAGCTTTGTCGGCATCCCAAAGCCCTGTGAGGAGCAGAGGAGCAGCCGCTGGGGTGGGCAGGAGGCAGGGATGGGGCAGGAGAAGGATATAAGACTGATTTGTAGGTTAGCCCTTGTATGAATTTGGATGGGGCAGGTGCAGGATGGAGCATGGGGCAGAGCGGGGAAAGATCCCTGTCCTCACCCCTGCAGAGGTACAGGTGTCGCCTGGAGGACGGGGATGTTTTAAGGTCCTTTCCAACCCAAGCTGCTGGGATTCTGTGATCTTGGATGAGGACCCAAAGGGGAAATCAATCATTCTTTGCGTGTGCTGAGGTGCAGGATTCTGTGCCAGATGTGTTCTCCCCTGAATGGAGCTGCTCGGGCGATCGGGAGAGGAGCTGTCACAGGACTTGTGAATTACAGCTGGAGGAGAGCCCTGCGTGGGGGGTGTTAGATGGGATCAAATAATCTAATGCCAGGAAGCCCCACCACTTGGATAACTGGCTCAGCTCTGCAGTGATAAACATGTCAGGCCATGATAATTGTTGCTTTCCTTTCGAATGAATGTATGATAGGCGATCAAATGGCATGCTTTGAGTGCCTGAGCAATCATCCTATTATCAATCATTCACAGTAAGCCACACGCTTCTGGGTGCTCTCTCCTACAGAATATATAGTAGCTTTTTAGAACAGAAAGCTCCAGAGCGCCCGGTCCAGGTACAATAAACCTGGGATTCAGCTAACCGCTTTTCTCTATTAATCACTGTCTCTGGAGGGAGGCTGGTGCCTTGCAAAGGAGAACAAGAAAACACTTTTATGAATCTCCTTTTTACTGTGCTGGTGGAGAAGAGGACGCGGAGGTGCTGGGTTTTGGTTATCTCTATCAACACCGGACTGGTCAACAGCTTCTGAGGCTGCGCTGGGTGGGAAGGGGCATTTGGGTGTTCTCGGGGCAGGGACCACTCTGCATCCCCTGGCTGCATGCAGGGAGGGGCAGCCACAAGTACCTGGTGAAACAGGGGTGAGGGTTTCTGTAAGTGCTGATGAAGGACGTGGGCTTTTGATAGGCACGAGTGAAACGGGGCAAAAAACGTGCAGAAGCTTTAAAACCAGCATGTTAAACTCGGTGTGCACTGGGTAACTCCTGCGTCCCTTGCTGGAACACTGATGGACAAGGGGCTGAAACTGGGTTTAATGTACAGGAAGAACTGGTCAATTGGCCAAAGGCAGCTGTCTGCTGTCAGAACTAAATGCCTCCATCACCATATAAGTTAATGGCTGGGAAGATTAATGGACCTGCTTGAGTGAGTCCAGAGGAGGCCACGGAGCTGCTGCGAGGGCTGGAGCAGCTCTGCTCTGGAGCCAGGCTGAGAGAGCTGGGCTGGGGCAGCCTGGAGAAGAGAAGGCTCCTGAAGGGGAGACCTGAGAGCAGCTCCAGTGCCTGAAGGGGCTGCAGGAAAGCTGGAGAGGGGCTTGGGACAAGGGGTGTAGGGACAGGCCAAGGGGAATGGCTTTAACCTGCCCGAGGGGAGACTGAGATGAGCTCTTAGGCAGAAGCTCTTCCCTGTGAGGGTGCTGAGGCGCTGGCACAGGGTGCCCAGAGAAGCTGTGGCTGCCCCATCCCTGGCAGTGTTCAAGGCCAGGGTGGACACAGGGGTTTGGAGCAAGGTGCTCCAGTGGAAGGGGTCCCTGCCCGTGGCAGGGGTTGGAGCTGGAGGAGCTTTGAGGTCCCTTCCAACACAAACCAGGCTGGGATGCTGTGAGTGTATGAGAGCATCAAGGAAGCATAATCTAATGCACAGGTAGCCCCAAGTGCTTTGTAACTCTGTCAGCCTCTCTGTTAAAAACATTGTGCGTGGGCAGTTATGAACAGTGATTTATTGTCCTCAAAGAGGAATGCATCTTGGAGAGGAGCGTAATGCGCGCACCCTGGGGGCAGCTGCTTCTTTCGATTCATCTGTGATTTATAAAGTAACATGATAATTGATGAGCTTCCCATGTCCTCCTTGTCTATAGTTTATGCAAGGCAGTGCTCGCTTAATAGCAATGAATTTAGGAAAGCAAAATTAAATTATTTCCCACTTAAATCTACATGTGTATTGGTGCCCGTGAGGCTGAATGTTGTACGCTTACTTATACCTTGTTAAATTACTAAACTGGAGATCGGTATTATAATAGTGCCTTGTGTAGTTCTGTGTTTTTAATCACAGCCATTTGTTCAATCGATAATCTTATAATTGAATATTTGTTTTTAAGGAGGCCTTTTAATATGATTAGTTTTGCAGCCTTATGGCTGCGTTGCCTCCTGCCAGCCTCATTAGAGACCTTGGTGAGTCAGTAAGGAATAGCAGGTGAGTGAAACAAGGCAGGTGGCTGGGCAGGTGGGGCAGTAGGTGAGGGTCCAGGCTCCAGTGTCTTCCCAGCCTCACAGAGGGTATTTCTTGGAGCTTCCTTGAGGCAAAGCTCTTCCCTGTGAGGCGCTGGCACAGGGTGCCCAGAGCAGCTGTGGCTGCCCCATCCCTGGCAGTGTTCAAGGCCAGGTTGGACACAGGGGCTTGGAGCAAGCTGCTCTAGTGGAAGGGGTCACTGCCCATGGCAGGGGCTGGAACCGGATGAGCTTTAAGGTCCCTTCCAACCCAAACCAGGCTGGGAGTCTATAACTATGATACATTTTCTAATAGAAATTCAGAAGTAGAGCCGTAGCAGAGTACAGGATACATGGGGAATTAAAGCCGCTTGTAGCCTGCCCCTCTGCAGGATGCTGTGAAGGATCCCTGCTGGGTCTTTGGCCTTGGGGATAAGCAGATGTGGATGGGTTGTGCTGTTTGAGAGCACATGGCCCTTGGCTGTGATATGGGAGAAGCTTCTGTAGGTGTTTTTGTTGTTGCCTATTAGTTTGGCACCGTGCTGTTCTTAGAAACTTTTAGCGATGAAATAAATGCATGGCAAAGAAGAAACATAAAATCCTCTATATCTAAGGCTGAGGAACCTGTTTGTCTACATGAGGGGGTCTCTGATCTTCTGGGAGTCTATGGCTGCATGTTACAACAATGTAATGCAGAACAAAAACGCAAGCAAGGCTCTGACCACCAGTGAGCAGTCAAACAGGAAAGGCAGAGGGACAAACATTTATGTCACCCTTGGAAGTTCATGCTCAGGTGTTGATATACGGGTTTATATGTGGGTTTATATCTAGGACTCAGTGTCTCTGTACCAAAGCTGAATGCCAGCCCACAGCATGGCAGCGGTGCCTGGACCACAGGGTCCTGGGGTCAGTGGCCTGGAGGTGTTTCTGGTTTTCAGCTGTAAGAGGCTTCCTATCCTGGCCTGCAGCATGGACTGGGATCAGCCTGGCTGGGAGCAGCTCTGGGGAAAGGAACCAGGGGGGTCCAGGTGAACACAAGCTCAAAGGAGTGACCAGTGTGCATCTGTGGCAAAGAAAGCCAACAGGATGCTGGGGAGCATCAACAAGGGCATCACCAACAGTGATCCAGCATCACAGTCTGGACAAGGGGCTGGGACATCTAGTCTAGGTCACGCTTTGGTGAGGAAGGTTGGACCAGATGGACCTTGAGGTCCCTTCCAACCTGGGATTCTATGATTCTGTGTTTAAAATCTGAAACTCAATTGAATTCAGTGTGATGTGATCACTTGACTAAATAGGTGTTACAAAACCTTGTCTTGGTGCTAAGGGAGTTGACCTTGAATACCGGTGTTCTCCTTGTTTTGCTTTTGGATTTGTTTACTGCTCATACAATTGACAACAGCAATTTCTCATCTATAAGAGATGGATTCTGCTGTTGCCTGGACTGGCAGCTCTGTCAATGTGATGTGCAGTTCGTGTGAGGGTTAAGTTGCTGCTGAAGGCACTCTGTGGAAGTGAGGAGTCGGAGCGATACTGTAAGCAGGGAAGGAGGCAGCAGAGTTGTGTGGCTCTTTCCCCAGCCTCAGCTG